ATAACCATTTCATCCACTGCATTCTTAAAGGACTAAGAAGAGCCAAGGTAAAACCTCTTCATTACTCCCAAGTCACAGCTGTACAGCAAGGACCCTTAGAAAGTCCAGTAGCTTTCCTACAGAGACTTAAGGATGCTTTACAAAAGCATACCAACATTATACCAGAGTCACATGAAGAGGAAATCGACCTAAATTTCTAACACAGTCAGCACCAGATATCCGTAAAAAGCTTCAGAAATTGGTGGCTGAAGGGAGCAGAGATCTGGACCAATTGGTCCGTGTAGCCACATCTGTATACTATAACAGGGACTTAGAAAAAGAAAGGAAGGATCTGGAAAGGGAAAAGAGAAAGGATAAGCGGCAGGAGGCTCTGATCACAGCGCTCAGAGGCTCCCCTGGGACGAAGTCCAAACCCAAGGACATGCTTTCAATGTGGACAGGCAGGCCATTTTAGGAGGGAGTGCCCCGGAGAAAGCTACCTCCGGGACCCTGCCCCATTTGTCGGGGAAAACATTGGAAGGCACACTGTCCCCGGTTCCCAGGGGAACCGAGGTCAGAGCCTCCCACCCAATGACGGGTCCCGGGGGGGCCTCCCATACAGGCTTCTGTAACCACTGTAAAAGCAGAAGAGCCCCAAATTAAGCACAAGGTCAGCCTCCTTATCAATACTGGAGCCAGCATCTCAGCTATTCCTTTCTCTCCCGGACCCAGGTCCTCCAAGAAAATTACTGTTCAAGGCATATCAGGCCAGCCTCTAAAGCATTATTTCACTCAGCCTTTAGCCTGCTCCTGGGGAGATTTCCATTTCTGCCACCCCTTTTTAATTGTCCCAGAAACCCCTACTCCTCTGCTAGGGGAGACCTTCTATCCAAATTGGGGGTACAGCTACTTTTACCCCCAGGAGAGTACTTTTGCTTGCCCCTAATAGAGGAACAAGTAGACCCCCACAGTGTGGATGGATAGACACACTGTGGGACAGGCACGAACAGCTGCCCCAATCCTAATTCATCTCAAGGACCCCTCCTGGTTTCCCCATCAAAAACAATATCCTTTAAAGCCAGAAGTTAAGGAGGTGCTAATTCCGATAATCAAAGACTTAAAGAGACAGGGACTGTAATAGAATGCTCCAGCCCATATAATAATCCTATTCTCGGTGTCTGGAGGCTAGTCCAGGATCTCTGCCTCATTGACGAAGCAGTAGTGCCTCTCCATCCTGTAGTTCCAAATCCCTATACGCTTTTAGCCCAAATACCTCCAGGTACTACTTACTACTCTGTTCTGGATTTAAAAGATGCCTTCTTTTTCATTCCCTTACACCCTAAAAGTCAACCTATCTTTGCCTTTGAGGACCCCACAAGAAAGTCTGGACAGGTCACTTGGACTGTCCTCCCCCAGGGATTCAGAGACAGCCCCCACCTCTTTGGGTTAGCTCTAACCCAAGACTTGGCAGAATGGCAATACCCACAAGCTACTCTGCTACAATATGTAGATGACCTCCTGCTCTGTAGACCAAATGAGCCTGTCATTTCACGAGCCACTGAGTCCTTACTAAACTTCTTAGCAGATAGAGGTTATAAGATCTCTAAAGAAAAAGCCCAATTGTGTCAGTCTAGGGTTATTTAGGTCTTGTCCTGGAGAAAGAAATGAGGTCTCTAAGAGAAGACAGAATCCATTCAATCCTGACATTTCCTCTACCTAAAACTCTAAAGCAATTGAGGGCCTTTCGGGGGGTCACAGGATAATGTAGAATTTGGATCCTGGGATATGCAGATCTAGCCAGGCCTTTATATCAAATCCTTAAGGAAGCACAGAAGGATACCCAGCCCTTTATTGAATGGGATGACAAGTCAGAAAATGCATTCCACAGGTTAAAGAAGGCTCTTACAACAGCTCCCACCTGGGTCTCCCAGTACAGGACAAGTTTCAATCATATGTCTATGAAAAGGGAGGACTGGCCTTGGGCGTGGTGACTCAGCTCCGGGGCATCACTCCCCAGCCAGTAGGTTACTTAAGCAAAGAGTTAGATCAGGTAGCCAAGGGATGGCCAGGATGCCTCAGAGCAATGGCCACAGTAAGCCTTCTAGTGCTTGAAGCTCAGAAACTTATCCTAAACTGCCCCCTAACGGTTTATACCCTACACGACCTAGGGGGAATTTTAAACTCAAAAGGAGAACTTTGACTATCTGACAGCTGTCTACTTAAATATCAGGCCCAGCTTCTGGGAGGGACAGAAATAACTTTAAGGACCTGTCAGAGCCTAAATCCTGCATCCCTTCTACCAAAGGCAGAGGGAAATCCTGAGCACTCGTGTAAGGAGGTGCTTATGGAAAATTATGCTGCCCGACCTGAATTAACTGATCAGCCCTTAAAAAACCCAGATCTAGAATTATACACTGATGGCAGTTCCTTTGTCAAGAATGGTGCCAGACATGCAGGGTTTGCAGTTGTGACAGAATTTGGCACCCTCACATCAGGTCCTCTTCCTCCTAATTCAAGTGCTCAACTGGCAGAATTAGTGGCCCTAACAGAAGCCCTAAGACTGTCAAAAGAACAGAGAGTCAACATCTATACAGATTCTAAGTATGCCTTCCTGATCCTGCATGCTCATGCTGCCATTTGGAAGAAAAGAGAAATGCTAACTACAACAGGAACAGCTTCCCATAGAAATAAGAGAGGTTACTTTAATAGTTTTAGGGATAACAGCATTAGTTGCAACCCTTGCTGGAATCAGCTATGGGGTGATTGTCAATCATGTAACTGCAAAAAACCTAACCAAAGTGGTAGAGGACACCTCAGACCAGGTAGGCCTTGCCATTAAGGACATGCAAAGGTCTTTGTCATCCCTTGCCTGTATGGTAATGGACCACCGCCAAGCAAGGGGGGGTATGTGCCACTGCCAATACCTCCTGTTGCACATATATAAACACTTCAGGCATTGTAGAGGAACGTGCAGATTATATTCTCCAAGAGGATAAATGGCTCCAGGAGCAATCTCTTGAAACTCAGGTTTCTACTCAGATATGGGAACAAATAAAATCCTGGCTTCCCTCCAGGACTTGGTTCCTACCCTTTCTGGGGCTTATAGTTGCCATTATTCTCTTGCTTGTGTTTGGGCTTTGCATTTTAAACTTGTCAAGTTTGTTTCTTCTCACCTAGAATCCATCAAACTACAAATGCCTCTGGTGGAGATGAAAAAGACCTACTACCACGGTCCCCTTGACAACTCCTCTCGTGGTCAGCTCTGACACTGTGGGCCCCTCCGTCGCCCTCTGTCAGCATGATGCAGTTACTGAGTCGTCCCTATCCCTAACAGTAGTTAGGGCGACCATTGAGAGGGGGGAATGAAGGACTGAAGGACAGATTGCAGGAGGTCCCAAAAGTGGTCAAGGAGACACTTTTCCCTAGGAAACGCCTGTTTGCATCTGAAAGGCATCTCCTGCCATCAGGCAATGAAAATAGGCTATAAAACCCCACTCCCCACCCTGGCCCAGGGGATCACCAGTTTCCGGGTCCCCCTGCATTCCCCAATATGAGCTCTTTCTCTTCTCTTTTCTCCAACTAAAATTCTCTACAAATAAAATCTTTCCAACCTCTGCTGTTAGAGTCTGTCTGTGCTTTCATTCTCAGAGCAGGCTCAAGAACCCTAAGCATCTGAAATTCCTGAGCGTGTCATCCATGCATCATATATTCAACCGACCCCCTAATAATTTTGAAAGCTTTTGGCAAGAAATAAACTTTCCTAACTCCAATCTTTCCACATTTGTTTCACATGTGCCCTACTTCATCCCGTTCAGCCATTATAATTATAGCACATATGATTGAAACTCATCAGCTAAACCGCCCACAGAATGAAACATAAATCCCTTAGCATGAAATTGTTGGGTCTGGAGACCTAAAGCAGATGAGTGAATATTCCATCCTCCTATGGAGAGCCATATCATTCCTATATCCTGAGGAGATGGAGGCCTGCATTCCTGCATCCTAAAGGAGAGATACAGATCTGCCACAGGGCTGATGAGCAAAATGCTCTTAAGATTGTTTCCCCTCCCCCAATAAAAGTGCAAATCAAACCAGTTCACCTGATGAGAAAAACCCACCTAACCCAGAGTTAGAATGTCCATAAAAACCTCAGCGAGCTACCGGCTTCCGGGCTCCACTGCAGTACCTTAGCTGTAGCCTTTCCTTTCTCTCTAATAAATTCTACTTTATATACCGGCTTTGGCTCATCATTCAGCTGCCTCACGGGCCAGTTCTCTGGCCTATGAAGGCAAGGACCCTGGACACCAGCACGTAACAAAATCAAAGCACTGCACAGTTAGGTTCCACCCTACTTTTTCCTTCTAACTTCCTCTCCTTATACACATTGTACCATTCAGCCATACCAAAGTACTACGTCCTTTCAACCTGCAATCTCTCCCCGAAATTATTCTCCATCCAAAACAAACACGCAAAAACATCCTATTCGCCGTGAGTGTCTTTACCACCCCCGACCCCAGTCAGACTTATTTCCTTTTCAAAGCTTCCGCAGTACATACACATAGCTATTGTACAGTACATTCCCAGCTTCTAAAGCAGTGCCTGGATAATCTTAAAGGATCAAATACTTCTCTAGACATTATCTCTATGAGACAAGGGAAAAGTCAAACTTTTTGTTATATCCTTAGAAAACTTTCCTTTCTATGGAGTACTCAACAGCTTGAAGTGAGTATTCAGTTTTCAGCAAAGAGCGTAAGGCATCCATGCTGCCTGAATGAGGAGACATTGCTGCAAACTAGAAATTCTGGGTCCTCCCTCTTCCTAGCGCTCTCGGTTCTTCTCCCAAAGGAAGGCTTGCAGAATAGACAAGGGATCCAGAGGTACTGGGCGTAAGACAGCTGATCACGGAGAAAATGAAGGGAATGAGATGGAAAGAAACGCTCCAACTACAGACTGGAGAACCGTATCCTTCTCCTTCGCCCTGGGATGCGCCCTGGGATGCGCCCTGGGATGAACTGACATACCAAGACCACCTCTCCTCCACACTCGCACCTTCGGTTCCTCACTTTCCCTTAACGAACACACTTCTCGCACACCTGCAACCTCTTCCGGGTTCTCGAATAATTAGTTCCGGATCAAAGAATCATGGAGCAAGCAGTCCGTAGGATCCGAACTGAGAGGCTAACTCAAATCCCGCGAGAATCAGCCGAAGTTGCTGGAGGGTGGAACGTTTCTCTTTGGGAGGCGGTCTCCTCCGGGGAAGGGGAGGGAGGGGAGGGGAGAGGCGGGGGGCGGGGGGACCGGATCGGAAGTGACGCAGAGAGTTCCGGTTGGCCGGATCCCAGCGGCGGGTGTGAGAGTTGTTCGGGAGCCGTTTCTAGGATCCTGAGTCCGGAGAAGCCGGGGTGTGAGCGGGTAGGTATACGGGAAATTGGGGGCGAAAGCCTGAGACTAGCCACAGAGTTTGGCTTGTTATAGAGCTCTCCACCTGAGACCGTGCAAATCTGAGCACGGAGTGTTTTAGGTCACTGCTGACTGGATGTCTCAGCCTGGCGATAGCCAGGTTATTTAGGACACCTCTCCACGGTTGATTACCCGGACGTCGAACCCAGACTATGAACTCCCGACCATTCTTTCTCCTCTTCGCGGACTTGGCGGTTGTACTCGGCTTCTGTAGATAACCCTCCCATCTCCCGGCGTGTCCAGGACCTCGGTGTAAATGAAGGTCTTTCTGATGACTGAGCTGTTTCTCAGGACCTTTCAGGTTGGTCCTTGCCATCTCCAGTCACTAGCTAAATGTATCCGCACAAAATGCAGGCGTGCAAGTACCATCTAAAGCCCTGGCAGTAGATGGCCAAGGGAATGGGCCTTCACTTTCTAGAGTCCTTGCTAAGGACTTTCTCGGATCTCCTTCTGCTGTCATGAAAGAATATAGAGTTCTCTGCCTTCTTCAAACCCCTGACTCCCAATGCTTGTTATTTCATTACAGTGCAAGCATTTGCAGTAAAACGTGAAGGTAGACTTAATCTTTAAAATTCCAAGAGAATGTATGTGGAACTGTGTTACACAGCTAGATTTCTTATGACCTCCATTAGATTTTACTCAGTCATCTTTTGTTTTTCTGCAGCCCCATCAAAAATCTAGTAATATATAGACTGGCACTGTTTAGGTGTCTTGGCAACATCGCTTCTTATCCTGACTTTATTGTCTTTCAGTTCTCCTTTGGTGCTTGTCAGATTTTGTAGACACATTACATTGATCATTTGGAGAAGTTTGTGCCAGTATTTCTAGTGTTGTAATGACAGAGAATTTAATATTTCAGCCGCTACTACCTATTAATTGTATTGTCGTTAGGTCTGATTTTAGTTGCGTTTTCTTGGTATAGAAGATAGGAAGAAACTATTATTTATTAGGCAGCATTTTATGCATTCTAGATTGTTTTTATTGACCTTTGGTAGAGAGATGGTGGTACCCAGACAAATATGACCAATTTATGTAAGTGTGAAATAACTCCAAGGTAGAAAACTCTCTTATTTTACTTACATTATTTAAACCATACGTGCATTTTTTTAGGGATATATCTCACTCAAATACACTGGATTAATACAACTACTTTCCTACAGCTCACATTCCCAAAGCAAAATGTACATATAAACAGGTTTCAGAACTATTTCAGTAAATGAATTGATGCCTTTTGATAGTCTACGTATAGCTAGTTTAATTGGTTTGTTTAATTCACATATTGTTTATATTTTTGAGTTAGAAAATGTTTTCACACCTGTCTTTGAAATAAGGTGACAAGATTTTTTGATAAATAGAATTATAAAAGTTAATTTAGCATCTAGCAAATTTTCGTAGTGATTACTAACTGCCAAATCTGTTCCTATATTATTTTTGTTCAGTTCAGTTATCCAGGGAATGATGATCCAGTTTTTCTGTTTTCCATTTTCTTCTTGCCTTTGTCTTGAGTCACCAGTTTTTAGGATTTTGAAGATCATTAAACTTTAAATCAGATGACCTGGATTGAAATCTGGGCTTCATCACTCGTTCAGTAATGGTTGGCAGGTTACCTGATGTTCTGAGTTGGCCTGGTTTGTGTTGATAAAAGTACTGCTAGCTGGGTTGTGATGGTTCACACCTGTAATCCTAGCTACTTGGGAGGTGAGATAGGGAGCGTTACAGATCATGGCCAGACCCCCGGGAAATAGTTCTCAAGACCCCATCTCCAGTGTAACCAAACCAAAATGCCACAGGTGTCACTGAAGTAGATAGAGTGCCTATTTTGTAGATACTAAGCCCTGAGTTCAAATCCCAGTCCCATGTAAGTGAATGAATGAGTATTAAAAGTACTGCTCACCTCAGTACATAGGATTGTCAGGAGATTTAGTCAGATGGTAAATGTGAAATACTTGATAAGTGAAAATGGTGATATTTTCATTTTACTGTGAGAGCTGAAACTCTAACGGTGTAAAATACTGTTACTTTGCATCATTTCCAAATCTGATTATTTATATTCTACTTTTATCTGAAAATATCATACACATTTCTAAGATGATCTTTGCCTTACTTTTGAACACAGTAAAGCTAGCTAAGACTGGCTTGAATTTCTGATCCATTGAATTAGTCACATTGGGTTAATAAGTAGGTGATTGGAAAATGAGTATAGTTTGGCATTTGACAGTTTAAATCTGATCTTTCTTGGTCATCATGTAATGTTTGTTGAGAATTTCCAGGTACAGGAAAAGTTGAAAGTTTGGGTGCTTATGTATTATTAATTAAAGGTTAGAAGTAGCCCTGACTTACTTACATTAAGTAAGAAGCCTTATTATTTTACTGAAACCAATATTTAGAATTAGAAGGAATCTCTGTGAATACTTGGTTAGATTCTTCTCATTTGATAGAGAAGAAAATCAAGGAACATTCAGTAATTGGCTTTCCTGAGGTCTTCTGGCGGAAGTAGTTCTAGAACCTGAACTGCACTTAGTCCTGCTTGTTGCTTTTCTTGCCTCCAAGCATCTTGATATGATTTGGTAATATTTCTTGGTTTGCATAAGAAATGTTTTCTTTCATGTATTAAAGAGATATACACACACAAACACACAAAACCTTTTTAACTGGTTTAGTCTTATAAATTGTAGGAACATAAAAACTGCTTCGGAAGATTTTCAGTACAAGCCAAGCATCGTGACATACATCTGTAATCCCAGCACTCAGAAGGCTGAGGCAGGAGGATCTTGAGTTTGAGGCCAGGTTGTACATAATAGCCAGTTCCAGGCTATCCTTTGCTACATAGCAAGACCCTGTCTCAAGAAAAAAAAGAAAAAAAATTGCAGTGGAGTGCATTAATAAAAAGAAAATTATATTCTTCAGAACAGTTATTCTGTGTTCATGCTTCGTTAATATCAGGTGTTAAGATATCTTCTTTCTGGCCAAGTAAAAATGACAGGATCTCTTTAACACATTTCTACTAAGTGAATGTTGATAGCACATAGGGAGAGCTCTATTAATTTCTTTGCTCCTGATTAAAAAACTTTCCCAAAACTGTTGTAATTTTAATATTGTTTTATTAATTATTACCTATAGAGTCATTTCTCTAGCTATTTCATTCTGTGTAAATAGCTACTGTAGAAGAGTAAATGCTTTGTTGGGAACTCTATTTCCAGTGAGTTCACAAAACCTGTTTAGTCTCTCTTTCTTGGAAATGATGGTGGTGAATATGACTGTCATTATTGTTTTTACCCAAGTATCCTGTGTATCTCTTCTTTTTTAGTGTGGAAATGAACTTTAGATCAAACCTGACAAACAGGATGAATCAAAGTGGCAAGTTTGCTGTCGTTCTGATATTGATAATTTGCACATCTACTTTCACAAAGATGTGCAGATATTTTTGAGAGTAAACTTTTTTTTTTTTTTTTTTTTTTTTTTTTGGTGCTAGGGATTGGACCCAGGGCCTTGTGCATGCTATTATGGCCTTTATCACTGAGCTACATTCCAATCCCAAGAGTAAACTTGTAAACTCCATATTCTTTCTGGGATAGTAACTTTGGTTCGAGTTTGATGAATTGAAGTTATGTAATACATAAACCCTTATATAAAGCTCATTTTAAAACATTGTACTCCTTGAAAATTTGAACAGGAGATACTTTTCTGTGACATCTAAAAGGTGATTCCTTGGTTGGGAGCACGGCTAAAAGTGGTAGAGCACTTGCCTAGCAAGCATGAGTCCTTGGGTTTAATCCCCAGTCCTGCAAAATAAATAGGTAAAGTTTTATATATAAAACTTTGATATTTTTGCTTGTTCATGGGATTATTTTATATAACTAGTCTTTATAGACTGTCTGGAAGGACTTGACAGATAAGAAGTAGGACAAAAAAGGCTTAGTTCAAATTCCAGATCTACTACTACATGTCTAGCTGGTTACTTAACCTCTTGCTCCTCAGTTTCCTCCTAGGCAATGAAGACAGTATACCTTTATTGTTAGGATTCAATGAATAAATTTAAGGCTAGCATTTAGAACAGTGCCTTGCATATAGTTAGCCATGATTATGATAATTATCATCATGTGACCCACTGAGCTGTTACCAAGAACTCTTTCCCAACCTCCTTTTGAAAGCATATCTTTACATTGCTATTTACTTATTGTCTGTTCATTGTTAATTTACAGTAAATAAATATCTGAGTATATATTTCATTTTGTGAATATTTTATAACATATGTGGGATTCTTAACCAAAGGAAGCATTCTTGTAGTCATTCCCTTAACCTTTTTTATTATTGTTAAGGTTGGTTTATATGTATTGTTTTTTTTCTTTCGTTCTGGGTACCTAAAATATAACTAGGCATGCTAGAACTTTACAAATGCTGGGCAAGTGCTTTGCCACTGAGCTACATTCCTAGCTCTGTTAATAGTTTACATTAGCTTTACAAGTCCTAACACAGAATTTAGACATTGAAATCAACAGTTCTTTTCACATTTAATGATGTCTTCTAGCACTTACATTCATTACATAGAGAACTGATTTTCTAGTGATGTCTGTTGTCTTACTTGTTCACTCATCCAATCAGTGAACAAACATCTTGTGTCCTTTGTGCCAGGTTCTGCGTAAAATAACAGGAAATAAGAAATGTTACGAAGGAAACAGCAAGGGTCTGAGAAAGAGTTGACAGTGTGGGTATATGCCTGTTGGGGAAGGAGCACAAGTAGACTTAGGATAGTGCAATGAGTTGAAGTAAGAAAGATATGCAGAGGCCAGGTCATGAGAATGAGTTTACATTTGGTTTTGAGTATTGTAGGAAATCACTGTATAGTTTTAAGTAGAAGAGTAATATAAGTTACTCCTACTCATTTATGGAGGATGAATAGAGTGGCAGTAGAAGCTGGACATGGTGATCCTACCACCTGGGAAGTTTTAAGTGGCAAGATCACTTGAGCCCAGAAGTTCTTGAGTAGCTTGGGCAACATAGAGGGATCCTGACTTAAAAAAAAAAAAAAAAAAGTTAGTAGAAGATGGAGAACAGTGTATGAATACTAAAAATATTTGAGCTAGGACTTGGTCCTGAATTAGATGAGTGGTAAGGAAAAGAGAAGAGTTAAGAATGACTAAACTTCAGGACTTAGTGACTGAGTGGGTAGTTGTTCTAGGTACTGAGAGAGGAAGATTTTGGTAGGACCAGGTTTGTTTATTATAAGAACATGGGTAGGTATAGAGAGGAAAGAGTATGTTAAATTGGAGGTACTTAGGATCATCCTAGTTGTACCGTTAC